CACCGAACAGCATGCTGGGAAGTGCACGGCCTCAGCATCACTATAATTTATTATTTCATTTTGTAGATATGCATTTTAATATAGTTGTATTAGCTATTTCACTATTTATATAATTTTGACACTGTTATTCCTCTGTGCATCAGGAAATCATTTTGACATTCACTGAGTGGGCAGGCAATGGGCGTGACTAGCGTAGACCTTGCACCAACTACTTGCTTGCTGCAGCATGAGCTTTTCCTTGAATTAATCAGGGACACGCTGTGGAAAAAAAAAAACCATCATAATGTTGGTGAACGTCAGATAACTGCAACCAATCAAAATTGTAATGTACATCTCTACTCATGCTACTTGAATCTCTGAAATTATAACAATCACATTTTGGATCATGTAGGCATTACAGTAATCCTTTTTCTCCCCATAAACGTTCACTGAAGAGAAAAAAACGTAACATCGCTTATTGTTAGAAAACTATGACCAGTTGTCAACAACATTCATGTGCACATCTCTACGTTTACCCAGATCAATCTTTGAAAATAAAACAATTGCCACAATGTTTTGCATTGAATGGGCATTAAAAAAAATCGTGATTAGATTTTCCAAATTCTTTCAGCCCTTTTAATTATCCTACTTCAGGACTATGACACTTAGCAGCACATTTTACTTCAGAAGTTTAAAAAGTCTTGAGATTTTGTTATACACAGATTCAAGACCCCCATCTCAGATTGTTTTCTTTTGAGGGATGGGCTGAAGTGTCAACAGGTGACAAAAGTGCCTTGAGTGTTAACATAAAAAAAACAAAACAAAACATTATTTAATGGTAGAGTACCATTTTTTTAATCAAGGTCATCTTAATTAATTTTTGTTTCATTATTTAATGTGGAATATCACTCATTTTTTCCGGGTGTGTTTTGATAACCACATTGGCTTTGTTATTAGAATTTATTCAATATCACACTAGTATACTGTATTTATTAGAAAAAGATGTCGTCTTTGTCTTAGTGTGTGTTTTCAAGTGAATACTGTATTTGGAAATTTTACTTGAAACCTTTTTTTATATCCCTAGGCACTATCAGCAGTCCAAGCTGTTCCCAACAAAGTGGATCAACCTCGTACCTTAGACCCATCACACTCAGTCATGAATGTTTTCAGGACATCACCAAAGTGTGACACCAAGAAGAGGAGGGCACCAGCACCCCCTGCAGGGTCCCTGACCTTCTCGAGTAGTTTGGAGAGTTATCAGGTGAGTAGATAGGAATGGAGAATTACATAAGTGCCATGACAAGATTTCCCAAAAATGATGGTGTGTCAAAATGCTTAGTGTGGCTTGAATGCCCACTTCAACCTGAGTGTAACTTTCACCATCTGAAAATAAAGTCCATAACATTTAATTGTTTTCAATACTGGTTAAAAATAGCCCATTGAGAAATGCATAGTCATATACATAAACATTTAAATTTGAAGAATTAAAGTTCATAGAGAAGTTCAGACAATTAAAATAAAAAAACTAAAACCAATGTTGTCCTTTTTATTCCAAGGGCTGCATACAGAAAAATCAGAACAGGCAGGGGGCCACACAAAAATGGTTTATTTGTTCATGTTGTTGATAACTGTTAGTTTTGCTGTTGTTGCAATTAAGCATGACAAAGTGTTATGTGTCTATACTTTGATTTTGAGGTACCAACTACAGGGTTTCGAATGATGACCTTGATTGTTTTTTGCTGTGCGCACCTCAATAATTTGCAGTTGTCCAGCCGAAATGTGAAATCTTTGGTATTTGGAAATTAATTGAAATGTTTTGGGGAAACTATTGCTAAAATGTTTATGAACTCTTTAAAAATCCTGTCTGAGGCATTCCAGATAATTTAGTTGAACCAGAAGTTGAGTGGGTTCACTGTGAAATACAAGGTTAACATTTAACCCAAAAAAAAAAAAAACGATGACGACCGAGGGGGCTATGTGTTGAATGTGGTGTTGCAATGAATATAGATCCACAATTTTTTTTTTTTATGCTAGTTGAATCCACTAATTCTTCAGTGTATTTTTGCATGTAAATCATCAGGATTTGAAAGGCACACTGTTCAGCTCGAGGTATTTCATATCTTAAGTTGTGGTGCCCATGTGATCCTCAAATATAACGTGTGACAACCATTGTCTATTATTTTTATTGTTTTAAGTTGAGTGCTTGGTGCTCTCAGGTACCAAGCGCTCTAAAATGAAAAAATGGAGTAGCACGACATTCAACAATGTCTTGCATCTTCTATTTTGGAAGCGACCTTTAAACTACAAATCTTGACTTTGCCTGTTTATTTGTCATCGTCAGCGTCACGCCCTTCGACATCAGTTGCTCTTCATGTACTCACATAGAGGAAGTGTAATCAATTTACTTTTTAGATTAAGAGTAATGGAAACAATACAGCTAAAGCGCTTTGTTCCAGCTGCAGATGTTGTGAAAGTGCTACATGAATAAACATGTATTGTATAATATGCAGGTTGGCCGCAGAGAGTCACATCACCTCAGGACTTGACTGACAAAAATGAATTTATCTGTGTTGCTTTCACGAACACCTTGTCTAAATTTTTAACCTGTCTGACACGGTCTCATGGATATTCATAGCTATCCATGTATAGCCAGGTGGTGCCAAAGTACACGTGCCACGTTTGATAAAGACGTTTTCAGCTATCTACTTTACTGCAGAATAGGAGGTGGACCTTGTGTAAATATGTCCTGCGTCTCTGTTGTTTAAGAGGAAGTGGAACGATAACAGAATAACTGAAGTGGGTGCTTCAACTGAGGGTGTGTCAGTAAATTTTTACAGTCCGTCATTCGCCAGCGGTGGAGTCACCCATCCGTCATCGGCAGTCTCATTAGTTCACGCTGAGCGAGTGTGCGCTTTCAAAGCAGAACACAACCTTTCCCTAACCATGTCACAACCCTTAGTGGAGCTAATCCAAGCATGCGCTATTGATAAATATGCACTTTGAAGACCATCCGTTATCTGATCCGCTTACCATCACGAGAGTCACGATCCATATCCAATATACGTGCCATATTTGCACCCATGGCACATCTGCAAACTACAAAGCTGAACTTGATATTTTTCTGTCTCTAAATTATTTTGAGAAACCATGCACATAGTCAGTGTATAAAAATGACCCACAACCCCCAAAAAGAAAATAGTTGTGAAATCTGGACTGCTGTGTGTACATTTCTTTGACTAAATATGTGCTAGAATACATGTACTTTCATCTTTTGTTCAGAATCAGCTACTTATTACAAGTACCTCGCGCAACTTCCTTCTCATTCATCCCCGCAGCGCCACGATGCTTTTACACAGTCAGACGCTGAGCGTCTACTTGCTTTGTAGAGTGGGTTGGTCTACTGTGCGAACCTGAACGGTCATTGGACAAATACTGGGCTTTATCTTGCCCAGCGTCTCTGGGGCCCCATGGCACAGTGGACTGGTCTGGATGCTCTGCTTCTGCACAATGATTGGATGATCTTTCTGAGACGCAAAAATTGAGCTTCTCATTTGAATGACCAGGAGCCGCCACTGGTGTCTTGACATATGTGAATATCATTAATTAAAGCATGTAATATTATTCAAGGCAATTAAGCAGATTTCAGAAATGTGTACCAAATTGGTAACCTTTCACTTGAATCAGAGATCAGAAATATTGAGAAGAGCCCAGTGGGATTTTTTTTGCTTGTTTTTTTGGGGTATTTTAGCTGTTTTAGGTCAATATGCTTTTTTTGGGACCCGTGACCTATGTTCTGCATTGACACTGAGTAGCACATTTAGTTCCAGAATTCCTTCATAGTCTTTGGACGTTGTTGTACCCTTCACAGGTTTTAAACATTCTGCAAAGTCCCTTCATAACTAAGCATTCTCTATGTATCAGGGTGATCTTTTCTTTGTGTGCTTCATTTTTGAATGCGTAAACGGAGCTGATGTGGCCTATATTATTTTTATATGGTGCTATTCATCCAAGCTGATGTACACATACAGTATATAGGTTTACACTGTAAGTCTCTGTCATACAGGCACATACTCCATTTCACATTCCATATAAGGGCTGTCATGTTGCCTTGGTACAAAGCCCCTCACCCATCAAGAGTGCCTCAAAACAAGTGATGAATGGTCACGCCACCAGGTTGAAGCCTCCATGGGTGGTCCTATCTGATCAACATGCTCGTACATGGGGCCCTTTGCCTCTCAACCCATAGAGTGGAAAATTTAATAGACACGCCAAACTGTCCTGTCAGGCCCCTCTCATCGCTTTTGCAGAAACACACATTCCCTTTTCTAACCCACCCGTGTTCTCATGTGTTGTTTCTCACTTACTGTCAATGAAGACCATAACGTATCCTGTGGGAGAGGGGAAACGCATGCAAATTAAATGTAAACTCATTTTGAGGTGTTTCTGCAATTTCAATGTTGCGATCTTGACTGTGAAGAAATACTGCTGGTCAGTTTGGCCCAAACTTAAAAATGTTCTGCCCAAAAGGTAAAAAGAGCAGCATTGTGTGAGTTTTGCTGACTTGTGTTATACTCTGCAGGGAACATTCAAAAACATGCTTTGACAGATAAACGTGCACACGCTCCACACGCACATTTGTCTTCATTGTAAAGTCAGTCATCCATTTCAGCTTCAACTTTGACCCACATCCACTGGTATGTGACTGTATTCATGTATGTATGAATGCAAGTGAGGCAGAGGAGTGGGGGACCGTGGAGCGAGAAAGACAACCAGTTGGGGGCCATTTAGATTTACATAGTATGCCACGCAGTGAGTTCATTCACTTGTCTTGCCGTCTTGTCCTGCCGCATGATGAAATGCTACATGCAGCTCCAGGCTTGTTGTCTGTGTGTCTGCATGGGAGAGTTGAATTCAGAAGTAATGGGGTCCCCTTCGAAAGCTGTTGAAACCTGCCCGTAGTCCTTCACATTGTATCAGAGATAATTGACTTCATGAAGACCAACCAGTCTTTCAACCCATTGACCCTCCCCTCCACTCCCCTATAGCAAAGATTTAAAAAGCAAGTATGAATAGCTTTTGGACCGCAGTTGCCCGTAACCTTATTTTACTTTTTTGCCGTCATTTCATTGGTCATTGCTTGTGATTTCTGTAAGACAGATCATACAGACAAGTGTTTTAAATGCCTATATTTGTTTGCACTTTTACATAATTTAGGTTTTATCCCATCTGGCAACCCATCTATTTGTGGCCCGTAAATTCAACCTCTACGGTGATCAATGGTTCAACATTAGAACATTGTCATCTAGCAGGAGTGCATTACAAATCAGCCATGCTCCATGTTCCGACCATAAATATGATACTTCACAGTTATAGAATAAATTATAGTGATGCAAAGAAGTACTTCATCAAATTAATTGCATCACTGGCAGATTTTATAATGTTTGTTTTTTGGGGAAATTAAGAGGAATGTTGGCATTGTGAATTGAACACTCAGATGCTTGCCAAAACTCCACTTGGATTTAATTACTTGATAGTTGACAGTCTCATTTCACAGACTGATGTACAGTGTATGGTTTTACACACACACACACACACACACACACACACACACACACACACACAGGTAAAAGATAGTTTGAAGTTTAACATTTCCAAAATAAACGTTTCCATCATATAATGACCCATTAGAGCACCAGAGTAGACACAAAGTCTATATTCAACCCTTTTTGAGCTGATGTCTGCTTCATATTTTGCTATTGTCAGTATAGACGACGAAAAACACTTCCAACATCTTTGATGTACAGCCAGCATGAAAGGATTGACTGTGTGTTTCCTCTATGGCTTTTTGCAATGTGAGAAAAGAGGACTATCCACTATTGTTATCAGAGCTGACAAATGCTCCGGATGGTCCGTATTTCGTTCCGGACATCTCTCCACATGATCTCATTATGGCCAGAACAAGTGGTGTGCTGGATCTTAAAAAACAAAAAAATTATCATTAAAAAAAAAAAAATTGTTCACATTGCCCAAAAAAGGTTGAAAATGCGCAAAAAGTGTCGCAGCGGAAGCTACGTGGACGCTCGCATGCCAGTCCAAAGTTAGCTGAAAGCTAATGACTTCACTCGGCCCTGATCGCTGCTACTGTTCATACTGTATATTCTACACGATAGGTGTCAAAGTCAAGGCCCGGGGACCAGATCTGGACAGTCACATCATTTTATGTGGCCCTCGAAAGCAAATCAAGCATTTTCAAGTTCCATGATGCTTGCTGAAGTCTGAGACAAAATTTCACATTTTCAAATGTAATCCACAATAACAGTCATTATTCTTGACTTCTGATTTTAAAACTAGTTATTCATCCATTTGTTGTGCGCTGTGTATGTAATATGTGGAGGTGATTAAACATTTATAATGGTTTCCCCAAATTCATAACGGCCCTCCAAGGGAAATCGTAACTACAATGTGACCCATGACAAAAATGAGTTTGACACCCCTGTTCTACACGTAAATGACAATGAAGGTTTTATGATTGTAGTAGTTTGGTCTCTGGAGTAAAGTATTCCACATATAGTTTGTCTGTCCTTGTCTATTGCGTAAGTGAGTACTGCTTGTGTTGATGAATGTGCACTGCCCCCAATGAAATAAATAAATAAATAGTTGATCTCCATTGCTCAACCAGCACTTTGAGGTAGGTACCACTATAATTTATTTTCTCTCCTTTTTCACTGTTTTCCATCAGATGGGCTCTGTCTCAGAATGCCAGCAGAGGAAAAGAAAGGCTCCAGCCCCTCCTTTGACCCCGGATTCCATCACCCCAGACCCTTATGGTGCACCTACTTCAGCTACTTCCACCCCTGATAGCCAAACAAGTGAAAACCATTCTCCAGCCTTCTGCACTAAGATGCCCCAGTCAACCACAATCTCTTCTTCCGCTGTAAAAACAACAGCGAAGCCACAATCCCCGAAGCTCAAGGATCACCCTCCATCTGTTTTCACTGTTGCACCCATCAGTGCCTCCCCAACTCCTAGCAGCAGCACTGCCGACAGTCAAGTTCTTCAGGACTCCAGCTCTGAACTCAGCCACAGCCCTGACTCCGATCTTGACACAGATGACGTTGTTTCCCATTATAGTACCCTCACTAGCAGTACCAGTACTGCAAGCGGATCGGTGCATAGCAAACTCCCGACAAAAAGTTCCAGTACCAAAATTAAGGAATTAGATAAGGTTAGCAATAGGATCTCCAGGGCAGCGAGTGAGTCAGTCCTTAACCTTCAACTGGATGAAGTTGAAAGCAACGGACACGGTACAATGGGTAAATATGAGCACAACACAACAGCACAGCACAAAAGGGTACAAAGTGTGCACTAAACGGGTCAGAAATAGCTTCATGTTGAAGTGTAGCTTTAAATCATGATTACTCTGTAATTTACATTTTATTGTAGTAATAATTTTAACATTGGACCATCCTCCCTTCTAAAGCTACAGACGTGATATAAAATCAAGGACTATTTTGTTATGATAACGCTTTAATAATCCATGTTATGGAGACCATCAAGGAATCATTTTACCACGTCTGTGATTTAATTTCCATCATTTATCATTCACAATTTTCTGCTTCAGCTAGGGAAACATTGAGAATATTTTCGAAGGAAATTATGTGTTTGATCAATAAGATACTGACATTGTAGGTAAACACTCAAGCATTATTTACCGTGAAGTTACCTGAAGTGGTTTTAAAAGTAACTTTTCTAAGTAGTACCTAGTAAGTTTTCGAACCTGGTCAAAGATTGCCTGATGCTCGAGTTACAAGTGCAGGTAGTTTTCGTCTTATTTTTAATAATAATAATAATAATAATAATAATACATGTATTTTTCATAGTACTCAAAGACACTTTACAAGAGTTTAAAACACGGGATAAAAATGTACACTTTAAAACAATGTATACATGATTTAAAACAAACACATTTTGAAAAAGAAAAACAAAGGAAAAGTGGGTAAAAGAGATTAAAAGGCGTTAAACACGATACAGTAGTCCTTGAATTCTTGCCCTCAATTTATCAGTCCTTTCTTTTCATCCCATTTTTTCCTCTCTTTGCCTCCCTTGTCAATATGCATGTAGCCACGCACATAATCCCTCAAAGATGGCGGTTGCAAAAACGAACACATCCACCGCAGATCTAAACAGGATCTACTTGAACCTCAGAAAACACTATTGATCAGGTCTTTTTTCATGGCAGAGTGAGGCTGCAGCAGAGGGCTGTAATGAGTGACAGAGGCAGAGATGATAGAGTTGTAGACCTTAGAAAAGAGGTGAGGAAGGTGAGAACGAGGGAGTTCAAAGATGGGAAGGTTTCGGCATCAGGATGAATATAATTGAGGTAGAATCAAGTTTGAGGTGGTTTCAAATAGATGTTTAACAAGAGGATAACAATAAGAATAGTTTTTAGTCTGGAGTAGAACAAACAGCATGAGAATCAGTATTTAATCTATTTGCCTACAGGGAGGGGTACCTTTCACTTTTGAACCGGTTCAATTTCAATTCCCAGTACCTGGAAATTAGTTATTTTATTTTGAGCATCATAGAGGTTTGTGGAGAAGAGATCAGAGAATATTACTTCCTATTTACTCGTACAATGATATTGCGCGCATGCCATTTCCTTCCAGGAACAACTGGTCACCCAGCGCCACCCAAGCCCCGTCGATCGCCAGCCTGGGAACACCCAACCCTATCAACCCTTCCTCTGTTCTCACCTTCAGAAACCAGTGCCCCACAGAGCACCGTCGAGGAGGAGGAAGACGCTTCACAGTGTAGGTGCCATATGGACTCACTTTTTGCTTAGTTATTTATTTTCCCCCAGAATAATTGGAGAACACACACACACACAATATATATATATATATATATATATATATATATATATATATATATATATATATATATATATATATATATATATATATATATATATATATATATATATATATATATATATATATATATATATATATATATATATATATATATATATATATATATACATATACATACACACACACACACACACACACAGTCAAACCTCGGTTTTCAAACGTCTCTGTTCTTGACCAAATCGATTTTCGACCAAAGATTTTGAGGTTTTTATGCCTCGGATTACGACCGCAAATCAGTTCTCGGCCAAACTGAGCGCACTTGAATGTGCCAATTGACTCCTCTCGCCTTCCTTACACGAGGAAGTGACGCTTCCTCAGGTAGACGAGGAAGTGACTCTTCCTTGTGTAGCGTTCCATTGTGAGCAGACGTGTTCAATAAAGATTTTAAAAAAAAAAGAGCGTCCAACATCAGCGGATGTGTTCAATGAAGATTTTTTTTATATATATATATAGCTCTGAAAAAAAATGACACCACTGCAAACGTCTTTTTGTGTCTCTAGATTTTATCCTGAACCCATCTCCTTACCTGTCATATTTATTTTCCTGTATATCTGCTCTTTTCTTTACCCGCTGCCCCTGTCCTTTTTGTAGTGTACTGCTGTGGTCCTGTACGCCTGCGCTCCAAGAACCCTTGAAATCTTTCTCTGACACTTTCATCATCCACCTCCCCCCCCTTTTTTTTTTTTTGTCAGTCCGCTTTGCTTCTTCATCTTCTGCAGGATGTCACCCTTTTTCCCTTGTCATTGTTTGAAGATACTTTTCTCCGTTTGTGTTCACACATACATTTCTAGTTATGTCTAATGCAACGTTCTCTACTTTCTCTCATATTGAGCCAAATGGATGTAACTTCTTGTTTTTTACATTAGTTTCATCCTTTAGATCTGGTTACTATTGATTATGTGTGGATTCTCTGCTGAAATTAAAAATGGACACATAGTGTGCGGTCAGAAGGTTGTACCATGACAGATGAGCTCAAAAGGGAATCCGTGGATGTATCATATACAAAAGGGATTAATGAGGGATATGAAGATGTCACGATGGCAAGGCAATCTGATATTCGTAGCCAATAGTTTGGCCACATGATATCTTAATATCAATCATTTAACCATCTTATCTGTGGTCGATTCTTTTGAATTGGTTTTGAGACCCGAGACGAATAATGATCTGACAGATTCGGGAGGCGCAACATTACATTTTTTTTTCTCAGAACAAAATACTTTCTTTTAGTGACGCTAGTTAGTTCTCAGACAAAGTATACTGTGTATGTTTTCCGATTGATAAAAGTCAACTCGTAAACCAGTATGTTAGGATCAGCATGTTAAGAATAAGATTATTTTTGTTCAGTTTTTCTCTGTCGTTTCCATATTCAAGCCCCGTATTGACTTATATGAGGCAACCATGTAATACGAAAAAACATTTTATTATTCCAAAACTTGTCTCCTTATTAAAAATCATAGCATAAGCATAGTGGATATGCAGAACATCATATGACCAAACCGAGAGAACAGTTTAGCGGGCTTCCCCTGTATGCCTTGATAACTAGCATAGCAACAGGTTGGTTACATGATGGTTTGAAGCTGAACTTTTCTTTATGACTCGTGTTGTTCATTTATTTATCCAACTATATCTATACAAGAACTAAGCATAAACATGGCCAACTGTCATCTTTGGGAGCTCTTGAAGACATACTGTATTGTACAAAACCAAATACATTCTGGACGTTTAAAGTACCGACTGGTGCTTTGTCCCAGTCCCCTTCTATTGGATTCCGTCATGTGCTCGTGCCGGAAGGAAGTGCATTTGTTCGCTTGTTTTACCAAATATGGAACTTGGTTGCACATGTAGACCAGATTGTTTTTCAGTTAAGTCAAACAAAGTCTTGTTTTATTGGCGCCTAATAATGTTTAATCTGCTGAAATTATGTTTTGGGTGATAAAGATGGGTTTTGTGTGTTCACGCAAAAATGGCAGGAATAAAATATGTGTATGGACAGTGGTTTCTTTGCATTAAATTTGCATTGACTGCAACCAAAAGTACATGACAAAATTTGAGACACTGACGCTTGTGTCCAAGGTCACTAATAACAGAGATTTGATAGCTGTTGGTGTGGATGTTATTGTGTGTTTGCTGACAGAACAACTATTTATTACTCTATACTAAATGGATGCACAACTGCATGTGCTTGTATACGTGCAGTGGTTGTGGTTGTAGCTGGCATGACTGAGCTGTTGCTGTGAATGTGTTGGGAAGATAGCCTTGTGACTCAGCATCACCTCATAAACAGACAGCCTGAATATATGTGCGCACACCATGAGTAATATGCACCATTATAACCAAGGTGGCTCTCATTTCCAAGAATACAAAAGTATTGACCTTGCAGTTTTATGCATGCTGGCCCAAAAAGACAGTAAATGGCACAATATTTTGTGGGCTGAGAACCCAAAACAATGCTGTTAAAACATGTAATTATAAGGATGTGTTTACAGGATAGCCACCCAAACATCATTCAAGTTGTTTTATCAAGCCCCACAAATTGGTTGTGGTCTGGGTCTATGTATGTATATTTGGTTTGTATTCTGGCTTGCGTTTGTGGTGTTAGAATGAATGTTGAAACTATTGTTTGCCTGTGAAAGATGGTGACACTCCATCCTGTGTTTATTTTATAACAAGTGACTTTTTTTTTGTCCTTCAGCATTGCAATAACTCCAATAGTACGATTCAGTAACTATCAATTTTAGTGCTGCCGATCAATCTCGACAAATGTTTTTTTTTGTTTGTTTTTGTTTTGTTTTTGTAGTCAAATCACCAGTCTATTTATTGACTGTTTTTTTTTTTCTCTGTACTCATGTACGATACAGTCTCCTGATTTGCTGGTATCCACACAACATTTTAAGTATTTGCTCCATAGTATTTTCATAGAATGGGGTTTCTTGTCTTTAGACGAGGGATGCATGATACCATAACTCAATTTTAGATGGGCTTTTTGGAGAAAAAAAAATGCGTGTTAGTTTCAAGAAACAACAGTACTAATTGCTAACATTTTAGCAAACAGTGAATCCTGTGAGTAACAACTCTCTTTTTCTTTCAGCTTGGCTCCATTCTGTAAAGGGCATGGGAGCCAATGTCCAGGCCACTGAAACTAAAACACCTGAGGCTGAGACTTTGTCCCTGGGAAACAGCAGCAGTGGCAGCAGTTTGCCAGATCAAGGTTATGCCGCTTCTGAGGGAATGGTAGATGGTGACGACTCAGGCCTGGTGAGCTCCCCATGTGACACCCATCCCACATCCCCAGACGGGAGTTTGTTTTTGGATAGAGGTTTTGGAGCCAGAAGAGAGCGACTGACGAGGCCTGTCCAAGACATTTCCAGTGACAGTGATGAAGGATGTGCCACCTGGGGATCAAATCACGGGTAAATAAGTCATGAAACATGGTTTGATAAAGTCTGATTGACCAAAGTAGAGTTAAGGTAAATTAAGTTTGTCCGGTTTTATCTGCAACATTAATGATGTTGTTTTGTACAGTCTGACTTGTCACCCAAAGCACACTGTGGTCATTCGTTGGTACTCTGGTTAAGACCAAAACAAAAAACTACTGGGTAATCAAACAAAATGCAGAATGCACTCATTTGGTCCTTTCCGCATCATGTTCACTTTGGCCTTGTCATCGGAACAATTGCTTGAATTAACTTTGCGGTGCAACCTTTTTTATGCCACAGAGTGGTTTCACATGAAGAAATATTTTGATTGACCAACATCTAAATGAATCAAAATAAATTATTAAAAAATCCAACAGATCTCGTAATACGAAGGTGGAGCAGAGCGAGATCACATGCAGAGGAAAAAACAGCGGCGGCTGTGGGACAAAACCCTTCTCTCCACCTTCAGGCCAGGGGCTGTCACAGACTTACAAACAAAACCTTGATATATGCGTGCATGTAATAAGCACCAGTTTATCAAATACAACTGGAGATAAAAATCTTCAAAAAAGAGACTTCAAACTGTTTATTGCCACTTAAAATGTAGAGTTTACCTTCATATTAAATAAAGAGAATGACACAATGTGTAATTTAAACAAGCAAATGACATTGCCCAAATATTTGACAACTGTGGGCTTGTTGAAGCCCTTTGAGACTTAAGAATGGCCCACGAGCTTAATGCTAAAAAGGTGAGGGAAACATTGTTTCCCACCTTAGACAATATGATGCTCTGGTGGCCATTACTCTCCTAATTTTGCCGATCCCTTAAACAAACAAAAACCTCACCGCTCTCCAGACGAGAATTCAGTCATTGACGGAGAGATGTTGGACATCTTTCGCTCACCCACACATGAAGTAATTGCAGGTCTCAAGTGATTTGTAAGCTTTCGTGTCCTGTCGTGTATGTGTACGTATCATGTTTACTAAATAATTCACAATATCGTGATGTGTGAATTTCACACAGTTGAGAAATCCTCCTTTTTCTTGAATGGATTGATTCCATTGCTCAAACAAATTTTCGACTTGTATTGAACCAAGGACAATCTATTTAAACCTTCGGCCTCCGTCTTCTCTGCAGGAGTAACGTTAGAGGAAGATGAGTGTGACATTGTCATGAACAAAATAACAGGATATAAACAAAAGTCTGAGAAGAGGAATGACCGACACATGCTGTACGGTTGAGCCGCAAAACGGCACTTCCTCACAAGGTCACGTTGGACCCGTGACATCAGTGAATATGTATATATAGCTGCATTTGTCTTTTCTGCAGTCCTGCCATTGAAAATATCCCACCAGCATGATGCTGCTAGGACCAGTCGACCATGCTTCACTGTAGGGATGGTGTTAGCCAGGTGATTTACTGTGTCAGTTTGTCTCCGAACTTGACTTGTCACGTCGAGGTGCCTTTCGGCAACCTTCTGGCAGGCCTCGAAACAACCCTTATCCACACACAGATGGAGACATGCTGCAGAGAGACAGCAGTTGCAACGCATGTGTTGCACTTTACTCTTCTCTGTCTCCACGGATTCGTGCACCGTTCACTTTTGAGTTGAAGTGAAACAAACAGCATCGACGTTCTCTTGAATGCACAAGACGCATCTCTGCAAATCTCGCTTTAGACTGCCAAACAGTTTTGCTGTCAAAAATGACACCCCTGTATTTGGTGATTCGTGTCATGCCAGTATTTTTATCTGAAGATTTACTCATCACAGCTCATTTATATAACTGTCAGCAGTTAACTTTTAGGTTTTTTTGTTTGTTTGTTTTTTTTTTTTTGCTCGATTTAATTCTCAACATGTCTTTAGTTTCATACCCAAAAGTAGCATAGCATGGCTGCTGTTTTCTGTCGTTAATCAAAGGCCTTCGTTGAAAGCGAATATCATTCATTCATTCATTCATTTTCCGAACCGCTTGATCCTCACCAGGGTCGCGGGGGGCGCTGGAGCCTATCCCAGCCGTCTTCGGGCAGTAGGCGGGGGACACCCTGAATCAGTTGCCAGCCATATCACTTTAATGGAATGAAATGTGTGTGATAATGTGCCCAGAATGGGAATTTAGGATCAATGATCTCATTCATAAACATTTAATGAACCCCGGCACTGATGCTTTTGTGTGGTGAGTGTTCCAGGAAAGCAAACTTTTTTTGTTCTGAGTTAAGAAGACAACCCTTCCCAAGTTCCTTTGAAGACAAATTCTATTGGATTTGGCTGTCTTGTTGTGGCTGAATTGCTAGTATCTCATGAGAATGGTCTTTTTAACCTCCAAAGCGAATTGAAATCTGAACTGCACAAAAAGTTGTGGATGTATGAAAATAATCAAATATGTCAAACGGGGCTGGATGGTATTATAGCTGTCCGCATGCCCTCATTGCTTTTGTGCATGCAAGAATACTATCCGATATCTGTGTGTTGTCTACTGCTTTTTATTTTTGTGTACCGTCCTTAGTCAAAGCAACCTCCAGGCAAAGTCACGAAACATAAAGAGCACCTTTGAAGAGAAATATAAATGGCTCCATCAGATGCACATGGAAGCAGACGTTTCAGGTGAGGTAGCAAGCCACAGCGTGATATTCTGCTGTAACGTTTAACAATCTGATGTGAAATGTATGTTTTGCTATCGTTTACTCTTCATATTTAACAATAGTTGAGTTTTTTTTTTTTTTTACCCAAGAATGATAAAATATAAAACATCGATCAAATCATAAAAGTGATAAAATAGGGTGTTCATGACACTTTGGTGAGTCACTAATGCATCAGAATTGTTAAATTTCAGTAGATAATATTCTCATAAATGTTCCTTAGTGGTTGTTGTATGTTTTGCCCTCCTTTAAGCTATTTCTCTTTTCCAAATAACTTGATCGCATGTCAACAGTGATTCACAGTGTGCCAGTATCTGCAGTGGACATGAATGTTCCTGTAACTGCCATAGATGAAATACTGGAAGACTTTAAACCTCTTGTCGAAGACAAAAAGGCAACAATACTCACTGGGAGCAAGTTAACATATCATCAAGGTAAGACAAATACACAGCCAAGATGCAGCAGTGTTTGATCTTTGCTGATTACATCAGCTTCAGGATTAAGCCAACTTATTTGTACCATTGAAATGATTGGAAATAGAATCAATCCCTGGAAGCAAATTATGCCCATAAAAACAAGGTAAGTTTTTCTGGGTTTAGTTTAGTTAAAAAGTAGAAATGAATGAAGCTTTTCTGCCTTTTTTTTTCTCAGCCGATGGGCTTGTGTGCGGGCATGCATGAGCATACAAGACAGAGTGGGGAATTTCCTCCGGGATTTGTGATAAGTTCCTCAAACTTTTTCTTTTTCTATTTTATCACAGGTTCAGAAAGTGCTGCAGAGTGGCGCAACGAAAACAATAATGCTTGCACAGCAGCTTCCACGAAAAAAAGTTGCATTGTGAATGCTAATCTTGATCAGTGTAGAATCACACTGGGAAATGGGTCAAGTGGGTGTACAAATGAAGAGAAAAATGAAGATGTGAAAGAGGATACACAAAGACCATTATCAGTGAAACCTTGCAAGTCCCAGGAACACAGCAAAAGTGTGCCGCTAAAAACTCTCAGATCTGATCCCATGACGTCGAAGAGTAACACTCATTGTTTACACGAGGACAGTGTCGTCCTGTCCCAAGCCAACCAGAGATCATTGTCCACGGAAAAAGTAGACAATACCAGTGTTTACCAAAATAACTCCAGCCCAAGTATGTTGCCCAGGAAAGTTACTTGCAATCCCACCTCTCGATTTGGAATGAAAACATTCACTGTTGTTCCTCCCAAGCCTTCTGTCATGCAAGGTGGTACTCAAAATGCGTCTGCCACATTAACTGCTGGTGCTCTTAAAATTGATGAGCAAGGAAATATCATGAAAATGTTTGGTCACCCCAACGGAGTCGTTGATGCAACACAATCAGGAATTACCAGAACTGAGGAGTGTCCACTTGTCGGAAAAGCCAAAGCCTTTTGGAGCTGCAGTGAAAGACAAGAATGTGCCCTTCCTTGCAGCACAGGTGTGACAGACAAGGCAAGGAGGAGCTTTGAGAACACTGAAAATGCTGGCAATGCTGTGGTGACATTGTCCACCGATCGACGGGAACTCCTGAAAACACAACGCGCAATTATAAATACTGCAATCAGTGCCGCGCCCAAAGAGGCTGGTAGAAAAGTCAATGACACAGTGAATAGTGTCATAAGTCCAAAAGAGCCCCAAGCAGAAATTAGTAAAGATATTTCAGTAGCTGAGAGAATTAAGCAACCACAACCAACACTCCCTTCAGACCTTCCTGCCTTCCTCAGACCAACCCGACGTACATCAAGCCAGTATGTGGCTTCTGCCATCAATAAATACACCCCCATGACATCAGCAAAACCCAAAATGGTGTCTTCGCCATCCCAGTCCACTCCTTTAACCCAACATGTTGCCTTCCATACACTGGGTCACTCCATACAAGTGAATCCACGCCAGTCCTCCAAGATATCATTGACAGATAACAAGTTTAATCAAGAGGGTCTTCACCGCCCTGGTCCTGTGAGGTCCATGAGCCACCCCGAATTTGCATCAGAAAGCCAAAGAGAAGTGGGAGATGACAAGGAAGGAAATTGTGGCGAATCCATCAACGACAGCTCCTGTTCACTAGGACCAGTATCGGACAGAATTAAACACTTTCAGTTGAGTGCTACCACTCAGATAGCCATCGTCGAACGGGATAGTCGAGATGTCAAAGCGAATCAGTGCAGAAGCCCCAGCCTTACGCGCAGGTCTCATCAACAATCAACTGCCAAACCCCTGACAGCCACTCATCAAACAGCGGCGGCAAAGCCAGAACCGTCACGTAGTATGTCAGACAGTGCTGTCATTCCTGGACCTCCACCTGTCAACATATTTGGACCAGTTAAAAAGTTTAAGCCAGTGGTCTGTCGCTCAATTGAGAAAGATACCTCTCTGCACAGTCACCTCATGGAGGCCATCCAGGCAAGAGGTGTCAAGGACAGGCTCAGGAAGGTGAAATCATCCGCTTCTGTTTTGTGTATTAATAATAATACATGGGGGGAGATCGGCCGATATTTTGAATTGCATGCAAAAAGGAATGTCATTAGCCAGGACCGGATCTGCCAATGAAGATATTGCGGTCACAGTGTTTCCCACATATACATGTCTCCGTAATGGGTTGTCACTAATCGATTTTGGTAGTATCTGGTCAATCTGGAACCAATGTATTCACTTTGTTTGCTGCATAGAGATCGTGCCACTCTGCTCATTGTGTCTATCTGGTAATCGACCCCCTCGCGTTCTTTTCTGGTACAGTACTGCAAATGTGGTCCACACGTATCAATAGTGTACAGATTTAAAATTGAGAGTCAATCCGTATCAGAGGCAGCAACATTGCAGTGTCGGTCCCCGCATCGCTCCAACAGTCGCAATGGCCGTCTCGTCACAGCACACGTGGTGTTGTTTTTAGTGGATCTGTGTTTATTTCCACTTGGAAACACCGCTCCATGTTGGGCAAAGCCTACGTACAGTCGACAGGATCTTCAGAGTTTAGGATTAAGCTGCGAAAACACTGTTATGGGAAGAAAATCAAAGCTGCAGTGCCCGACCATGAGCACATATACTATACTACTATCATTATGATATTATTATATAAACTCTGTGATCGGCCCCAAAAATCCAAATTGTGTAAAGCCTCCCCAAGGCAACATGAGTATACAGTAATACTGTTTTTTATGATATGTTGGCTAGAAGACACCCACATTACCACCTTTTTCCTCTTCTACTGGCATGACTAGACATCCTCATCTGGTGCCAGAAGCATGAAGGAAGCTTTTTCTGACGAGAATGAGAGGTCTGCTCTTCTTGCTGCGATTAGAGCCCAGAGCAGCACTGGAAGGCTGAGGAAGGTAAACTACTCAAGCGGCGACTTACCTGTATGTATCTTATGTCATTGCCAAAAAGTGAGAATTAGTCTTCGAAAAAATGAATGCTTTCATGAATGAGTGTCTTGTCAATTAACCTTTCCAATATATCCCATTCACCTTGAAATATGATGGTTTCAATGTGTCAATGGGTCGGCATAAGAGCAACTTCTGGCTTCAAGGCCAAGTTGGCAGCTGTGTACTTTGAGGAGTGCCTGCCATTCAGAATACCATATATTCACACTGCTGTGCGTTTCTGCCCTGTTTCCTACAGATTAAATCTGGAGCTTCTGATGAGTTAGAAAAGTTCAGGTCAGCTTCGGGGGAGCACCAAAGACCACTTTCTTCAACTTGCACTTCTCCTGTCTTTACAACATCTCCGCCGCCATCCACGCTCGCGACTTCTCCTACTCCTCCCACCGCCTTGCACCGGTCGAAGCTTACCACTGTGGATCGTCCGAATGCCAATGCCCTCATGAACCCCGCCTTGGCCAGGGAGGCTATGATGGAGGCCATCCGTTCTGGATCTGCTGCCGAGAAGCTCAAAAAGGTAGAAATCTGAGAGGGAGAATCTTTCATCCTGTGCCACTAAAGCTTGTAGAAACTCTTGAATTTATTATGCCTTGAGCTGTTTCATGAAAGGCCAGTGGCAAAAGTACTTCTTTACTCTCACATATCCCCATGGATCAAATTACAGCAGACAACTCTGGCTTTCCTTTTGTCCGCTCTGTTCAACAGTGTGCGGAGGAAAGAAAACACATTCACTTTTCGAGACATCAAATATAAAACAGACGGCTATAATGAATTATAATTTGCATTAATCCTACGAGCAAGCGTACTGTATAAAGCCACATGATTTTACCTCAGAAAACTTATTCCTTCTTATCAAAGACTCAAGTAAGAAATTGGAATGGTAAGATGTAGACACAAGAGACCTCAACACAAATAGAATCTGACCACAACTTTGATTTGCTCTTTCTGTAGCTAGAACAAAGCCTTCCCAAGCTGCTGCCGCTTGGTGATTGGATAGAGTTGCAGATTGTTTCACATTCGTGTCATCACACATCCACTATTGATTTAAGAACTTTTTTTTTTCTTTTCCAAGAAGAAAGTTCACTTTATGGGCAGCAGCTGTTTAAAATTCAAGACCCTAAATTTAGATCTATTTGCCACATTATTTCTAAATTCTTTAATAGGCCATCATCACCACAGTGAAGAGGAACCCAATTACCGACCTTTATCTGACTCGCATTTCAGCAAAAACAGAAAGAGTTGCAGTTTTCAACTTTCGTATTCCTTTCTTTACGGTCACACTCACCAATCAGCAGCCCTTTGTCAGCATGACACCAACTGATATTCCCAAATTCACTGCGCTTTTGAACAAATATGTGCAAAAAGTATGAAGACGGAAATGATGATTGGATCTTTATTTACTCGCAAATCTACTGAAATCTGGACCTGTCGAATTGAACACAAATCTGAAACATCAAATTCACAGAAAGCCATGCCTCTTTCTGTTTGGATGACAACGGGTGGATACACACGTTTATTGCATTGTCATTCTGTATTATATATAGGCTTTAGTTGTTCTGCCTGTCACTATACATTGCTAGCATAGACAGATGCATACACATATATTTGTAATCATTGAATATTTAGATATTGGACAAGTTAAGTGAAATTTGATCATTTCCCATGTCATTTCTGATGGCTCGCAAGTGTGTCAAGGCACCCTGGACAGTAATCAAAGTCTATCCAGTAAAGACAAAGAGGAAACTTCATCGTGTGTGTGTGTGTGTGTGTGTGTGTGTGTGTGTGTGTGTGTGTGTGTGTGTGTGTGTGTGTGTGTGTGTGTGTGTGTGTGTCCCATCTAGGTTGCAGCACCCACAAAGACAGTCAAAGTGAATGGCAGACTGGGAACAATGCAGGCGACCTCTTCCAATCTTCCCCGGGAATAAACTTACCATCACAAGCAAAACATTTACAAAATTCTTTTGTTGGGTGTGTTTTACCACAGAGCTTTGGAATGGACATTTATCAAACTGGTCATGTTAAGTCAATATCATAGATCCAAATGCATGACATGAATAGGGCAGATATGCAGGGGGTGGGAGGGGGGGTTCCAGTTCCTAAAGTCCTTCACAGCTCTTGACTTCTTGTGTGTCACCTCCTAATTAGAGAAGTGCAAGACTACGACGACAACATGTCGGGAAACGTATTTTGAGCGTAGTTTGTGAATGCCGTCCTACCCGAGGAATGTTTTGTTGCACACATTCGTCTGATAAAGCTGTCGCAGGTGAAAGGTTTGACACTTTTCATTCGTAAAATCAGAGTTATTTGTCAGCTCGGTTAGCGGCAGCCTTCTGGGAAATTGTGTCCATCTTGATAACACAAAAACTTGCTTGCTATCTTTACTCTGGCTTTTGCGGTTTTAACTGGCGCGTGACGCAAAAATAAGTGCCAATGAAAGCAGAATAGTTCACATGGTCTGTGCTGCTTCCATAGCCTATTCTTTTGTTCTGTTTGTTTTATTTTTATTTACTGCAGCTGAGACTTGGATGCCTTCTAGTGTTGTGTTGCTCAGTGTTATTATGTACAAAAATGTTTTCTGTAAGCATTCCAACTGCGGTGCAATACGTTAACGTTAGTTTATCCTTATTTGAAATACTGAACATGTTGAAATACACTTAAGAGTGTATTTTCTGTCAATATGGTAAAGAATGCCAACTTTTTCAGTCATGCTGGTGTGGGGACGAAAAAGATGCCTTGGTGCCTTTTAGCTTATAATGCTACTGTTTGGGCTTTGAACTTTTGTGCTGCTGTTTAACACAAAGCGCTTCACGTGCATAAGTGTTCTCTGGAAGGATGTTCAATACAAACATACTGTATATAGTACAAGAGAAGGAGCTTACAGTTGATGTTTGCATTCACAACTAGGATCTTAAGGTGAAATTGTTTTTGGTTTTCCTTTAGTTGTTAAAGAAGTGCATGTGCAAATGTTGCCAGTAGAGCAGGGAAATTAGTTATTGAACAAATAGCATTTGATTCGTGCATACTGGCTTTGCAATATTCATGTCATGCAACATAGCAGTTTTAGGAAAGCAGTAGAGAATAGTGCAATTGTTACCGCATTTGATACCTCGATGAAAAGTTTACAGTTTGGAGGAGCTGTATTTGATTTTGGAAGAGTTCATTGCTGCCATCAACATCGATTTGGATTTTCTGTTTATACCGAATACGTTTCAGAATGGCAACCTGACTGACAACACTGAAAGCATCCATTTGCAGGTGCTGAATGAAATGAGTGAAGAGATTTGAATTCCTAATTTTTTAAAATAATATTTTAATTTATGCTCCATGTTTTTTAAGCTAAAACATATATTCATTTGTTTTATCCAGAGAATACAACCGAGATTTTTTTTGTTGTTAATTATACAGTATTTTTGCTTTATGATTTGATTGACATATAATAGACCACATTTTGAAGTAGCATTGTATATTTTGTAAACAAATGATGATCACTATGGCTCGAGATTTGTATTGTTAGAAGCTCTTTCAGCTAATGGCTAGAGATTTATACAAGCCACTACATCCCCCCACCCGAAAAAAAGGTTTGCACAATGACTTTGTCTACCTAATTTTTGATTGAATAAATACTTTTGTAATTGCACAGTGCTTTTAGTCATGTATTGATTGGTGTAGAAAATGTGAATTCCAGTAATTGTAAAAGCATCACAGGGGCTTGTCATTTCCAGTAGTACGGCTGCTCTCATGAAATGTAACATCTCACCCTCTCTGGCTCGTCACGGTCGAGCTGTTTTTCCCGGCAGCAACTCAGCGTCCTGACTCACCACTGTGGCTACACATAATGACGCTCTTAAACTTGAGCACAGCCCTGCCTCTTCCAGATACAGCAACATGTGCAGCACGTAAAAAAAGGAAACCTACAATAGTCCCTCTAGTGGGAAATTCATTTTATGCTCAAAATACCTCTGGTGGCAATCACATAGGTAATGATAATGCAATATAAATTGCAAAAGACCCAATGTCTCACCACTGCAGTCAGAGCCAAGTTCTGTTGGGTGCATGAATGGAGTGTTGATTGTTACACGGCTGTGCGTTTTGAGGCTTGGCCTATGTACAGTATGTGATGCCAAACTACACAGAATTAACAATTTTGCTCTATATAGGCATACATCACTACCCACAATAGTCTTGGTTCATTTGTATTAATCAGTGAAACCTAGTCGAACACAGACAGACTATTTGCAATCAAAAATTAAAATCAGTTTTGTCATTAAAATGGTTGTTATGACTTGACACAATTGATACTGTATGTGGCAAAAAAGCCCCAGCTGTCTCCGCCCTCATCTTGTCCTTATGATTTTTTGGTTTTGTTCTTCTACTTTCTTCCTTTCATAACTTTGCTGCTGTAAATTGGGAATGTCTCCATTGTGAGACGAATAAAGATTTTCTTATTCTTATTGATAAACAAGAAACGACTGCGTCCGAGGATAAACCACCAATCGGACAGAAGGCGAGACTTAAGAAGTGTCATTCATTTGTTGTACGCTCATGGGCACAAAACCTGCAGCCTCACACTGACAATTACATCTTTCACTGCCAGCTTGCATTTGACATCTATCTGTATAACATTCAATGGCAGTAAAGGAGTTACAAAATGTTTAAAGTTGGTGTGTGAGGCACACACACAACACAACTCAGTTTTTGAGGTCTTCCAGTGTCAACAGATTGCGTTTTGAGATCAGATGTTGCAGTTAAGGATGTGATCACCAGCCACTTCATTCCATTTTTTTCTGACGCTTGTTGCCATCCCCTGCCGACAACCTTTGGCGAGAGGCGGCAACCAGGACCGGTTGCCAGGCAAACGTAGAGAACAACCGTTCAAACTCACACATATTGACACTTTATAGTCTTCAGTGAACCCAAAATACATGTTTTCGGAATGTGGGAGGGGGGAAGCCAAAAAACAAACAAAATTCAGCCAAGCATTGTTAGAGCACAGCTCTACACAGAAGAGCCTCAGTGAACATTTGAGCCCAGAGCCTATTACCTGTGAGACAAACATTCTCACAACTCTACCAACATGCTGCCCATCATGTGTCATTTAAATCTCAAAATTCAAATGCCATCTATCATAGTACGTTATAGAGGAGCTCATCTTGAGTAGCGTTAAGAGTGGGGTGGGGTGAAAGGTGTTTTGGTGTTACTTATGCAAAACATGTGCTTCATTCATAAGTGCAAGATAAATAATGATTAATGACAATCTTTTGAATTCCCATTAAAAACGGCTCCATCCTCGGGACACATTATGAAAGCCTTTCACCGACTGCCTTTGCTCATGTTACACAGCTTTGTTGTCAGGCTTGGAGTGATGGACACAGTGACAGTCACGAGCAGCAGGGAGTTGTATTGACTTTGTTTTCTGATGTTTGGTAGTCCACAAAGTAACTGATCAATCAATTGAAACAAAAGGCCTGTGCACTGTTGAATGTTTGAGGAGGTGGAATAAGCACAATGTGTGTTGTGTTTATGTCTCAGCGTCAATCTCGCAGCAAGAAGGCTTTGTTTCCATCACGACAGATGCTTAATGACTGACATGATATGTGCATGTGTCTGCTTGTGTGAGCGTCACCTGCCTCCTTTTAGCTCTCTCACATGTGTAACTTGGTGTTTTAAAGAAAATGGGGCGACAGTTTTCAGCACCCTGCTGTCCTGAACCAGACGCACACCGCTGAGGACTCTTCAGACTCCCATGGTGTGTTCCCATCCAAGTATCAAGTGTACCTTGCATGGGACAACGAATTTGGGGTCAAATCCATTGACATTTTTTTTCTCCGTTCATTGACCTTTGTTCCACTCAAGCCCTGTTTCGCCGAAGTAATGGAAAAGTTCTGTTAAGCCCCTGTCTCATAACAATTGTGAGTGTTTCTGAAGGTTTGTTCAAGGTTGCAAATTGTCGCCAAACGGTCGCCGGATTTTTTTTCCAGATGTTTGCTTGTACTTTTCTCTTTGCAAGGGAACTTTGAACATGTTCAAAATTTCCTTTCAACAAGAAAAAGCACTAAAACTTGGCGAAATTCTGGCGAGCATTTGCGACCTTGAACAAACCCTGATGAGAACGCATCATTCACTCCCTTCAAAAACACTCGCAATTGCTCACACCTCAGTGGGATAAGGATTTAAGTATGATATGCAGTTGTGATTGGTAATAAAATAAATGCTTTGAAAGCACTTTTGAGCAATTGTCATTGGGGTACTGAACTGCACTACAGCAAGTGCGGAGCTCCAAACTTTTTTTCGTATTAACAGAAGTGCCAAAAACAAATACAGTCGTCACAGTCGAATAATTGCACCCATCTGTATAGTATGTCACATTCCTCTTTATTGAATTAATTGACATGCTTTTGTGAACCCTCTTGAATGAAAGTTGATCTTATGAATACAAAATCACAATTCTGTCCTAACATTGAATCATCATATCAAAGTCATGTAAAATAAAATATAAAAATGCGATCTTTCTTATTGGTATTAACCTGTTTTCGCCCCTAAAGCAGTTCTTAATCTGTATTGCAACAACAATGTCCTAAAGTAACCCCCCCGTGATGTTGTTCTCAGTCACATAAACATGAGAGGAGCCTTGTGTAATACCCCTATGAAGCTCCGACCAATAAGATCTCAGCAGTGCTGGGAAGGTAACTCTGGAGAGATGAGATGATTTAGAAAAAAAAAAAAAAAACATGCCACTGGTGTTCATAATTCTGAGTTGCCTGTCCTTAGCAAAGCTTTTAATTCAGAATTGTGTCCTTAACAGCAGGCCCATGGTGATCCACAATAATATTCTTACTATAGGTTAACCTTGATTTTAGTTTTCTCAAATACTGACATGTACTGTATACAGTATTGAACTCAGTATTTGAAACACGCTAGAGTGAGCAAACAGATTTAAATTTGTGATGCTTTTGACCTAATTTGTGTCACCTGATTCATTTCTGACATAATGTTATTGTTTTCTGCTTTTCTGTTTTGTTTATTGTCTGTAGCGTTTTGGGTCATTTGTTCTGCCTTCACGTGAATCTGTTTATTTTGTGCTCCTATGCATGGCCCCACTGTCTGTTGGCGGTACAGTATATGAATTGCGTTTACCAACATTTTATGACATTGTGATGTTTGCCGTCAAATGTTGAAATGGAAAGAACCCTTTCGTCACTGCAGCTTTCAACACCTTTTCCAAATTGATTTCAATTCGACGAAAATGTTTATTTTCCCTCATATATATATATATTTAAATATATACACACACACACACACACGCACACACATTTCAGTCAGCGTTTTTATTACTTTTCCTGAAGTAAAGGAATATCAGTATTTCTGCTCTTACCAAAGTTGTTATTTATTTATTTTACTAAAGTACCCCTGCTTCTATTTAGGTACATGGTGTGAGTACTTTGCCTACTGTGGTTTGAAAATAATCTTTATTTTTATTTTGTTGTTGTTTTTTGGGGGTGCTAGTGTTTTTATTTTACACTTTTACTGAAGTAAAGTAATTGAATCATTTGAATCTGCATTTCTACCGTTAATATTATTGCTTTTTAAACAAAAGTATCTGCTTCTACTGAAGTAAAGAGTGTGAGCACTTTTCCTCTTGTGGTACCTTCTCGATGACCCACAACCACAAAAACAAGTGAACTAATAAGGAGGAGCGAGGACACATTCTTGTTCCCAGTACAGCGAACGCAACATGAATAGCATCGATCGGCCCTTGGAGGGTGTGGTCAGGGTTCGAGGGGCGGAGAAGCTGCGTACGCGCGAGTATGCGATCCTGCGTGCGCGCGAGCGCGCTAGCCGCGTGTACTGTATGTGTGTCGGTCCCGCTTAGCCGCTCGGGATGATCTGACTTGGGAGTTTTCGCCGACGCAACTACTTGACTCCTTCTGCCTCCTCTTCCTTTCCTGCGTGGGTTGCTCGCCTCCTCTCCTCCGTTGTCCTCTTCTCGTCCCGGGAATGTTGACCACCGCGGCCTGAACCGGTGCTGCACACCCCCCCAGCCCCCGCCCTCGCCGCTCGCTTCACCTCCACACGGCCGTGCGTGTCCGAGACGGTCGGAGCCTGGCTGACTGTGAGGTGAGTGCCTTCCAGTCCTCCCCCTCCTGGCACACGCAGAGGTGTCAGCGTGTGGCGGAAATTGAAACTGTTGTCGGTCGTTTTACAATCAACAGTCTTGTCTTGTCGGGCTACACTAAAACTCTACTGTATCCACGCTCGATCTGGACACTTGAGTCCTGTTGTGTTTAGACTTTCGGTCATCTTTGACGTTCCATTCAAGCCCGGTTGGTACACGATACTTGGAGGGGAGCAGCGTCCGCCTGCCAGCATGTCATGTTGTTGACGATTGCATAACGTCAGTGAAGAGTAACTTTTTGCATCCAATGGGACTCCTGTGCCCCCTCAACTATTTGGCAGCGATTTCCCTGGGGGCCCGTGCATGTGTGTGTGTGTGTGGGGGGGGGGGGGGCATATTGACTTGTCCTACTGCCTGGGGTGCGAGGTTGACTGAGTTTTGTTTTGATAGAACCAACACGTCTTTCAGCAGCACCACCTCTCATTTCCAAACTTATGATACAGTACAGTATATGTGTCTGACAGCCCAACCTTTTTTCGCCACAGAGCACAGACCGCTTTCATGTCAAGCAATATTTTTGATGGAACAGCATTGGTGAGACTGGGGAGAATTGAAGCATTTTTGACACTTGTGTCTCCATCTTTGAGCTCTTTTGACTTAGGGCAGGGATGGGGAACTGGCAGCACACTTTGCGTGGCCCCTTGAAATAATAAGAAAAATGTTTTGGGTTTACAAACCTGAAAAATAATTCAGAAAAATTTTGTTGACATACTGCATTAGTTTTCAATGACAACTTGGGGGAAGTCGAGAATGAGTCTTAATATGAACAAATATTGGGAAAAGAAAAAAGATCTGCAAGCATGCAAATCAGTGACTTTTGCCAGTTTCATTGTACAAAAAAGAGAGGAGAGCTGTTGCAGGACAACTCATTGCCCAGAGCATCTGACAGTTCCTTACCGAAAAGAACATCGCCATGTTGGAGCAACTTCCCGACAGACCGAACCTCCCTATTTTTCTTATCCTCTTTCACAACCTTATGGGGATCATTAAGGTGACCCGTTTTGAAGACCTGGACAACATACAGATTGCCGTAAGGAAAGAGGTGTGGCCAATCCTGGAAGAATCCCCTCAGGACTCCGTAAACGGGTGGCAGCGAAGGCTGGGAAAATCAACTAGATCAGGGGTCCCCAACCTTTTTTGCCCCACGGACCGGTTTATGTCAGACAATATTTTCAGGGACCGGCATTTAAGGTGTGGCGGAAATAATACAACAAACTAATATGGTATGAGCTGCATGAAAACTGTGGTGTTTTCGAAATATAATAATAAACACAAGGAGCGTCTAATCTGGCCGCAACACTCTGATCGCTATGGTAATGTTTAATGCCTTCAAAATACGACACAAAGCAAATTCAAAGTGCATGAAAATGACGACTCACCACAGCCCCAAGTATGATTTTCTGCAACCAGACGGTCCCATTTCGGGGTAATAGAAGACAATGACACCTCAAGTGTGTGGTCTACTTCGTAATTTTGTTTTCGTCGCCGTTGCTGCATAATCCCCCCCCCCCCCCCCCCCCCCCCCCCCCCCGGAAATAGCAAAAGTGCTATTGGCGTAATCAGTCACGTGACGGAGAAGCGTGGCTTGACGTGTGTCAAGCATGACACAGACGGATGTAACGGAGAATCCGGTAATTTTTCAAAATAAAACATCTTTCGTCTTCCGAAATAAATAAAACGGAATTAAGGCAAGTTCTTTCTGTGCGGCCCGGTACCAAATGCCCTGCGGACCGGTACCGGTCCGCGGACCGGCGGTTGGGGACCCCTGAACTAGATGATCACGATTATTTCAAAGGGGAAAACTTGAAATGTGGCCTATGTCACACCAATCCTGAAACTTTTCAGATACACCTCGTGAACTTGGTGTACAGGAATATACAGTAGAGCTGAACATTGCACCAGCAATGTTTAGGGTGGAAAAACACTGTTGCCTTAGTCTCATAACACTGTCAGTGCCTTGAGGTAAACTGGTCACACTAGTTGGCAGAAAAAGATGGATGGAGAGAGTCTGTTCTTCAAAGAATGTATCCATCATCGGTGTCATTTCCAATGTTTTGATTACCTATGCTCACTTCAAAATGTTGCTGAAAAGCTCAAATTTGCTTGCTCCTTCTTCCCACGCGAGACTTTTTCAATGAGAAACGTCAGTTAAACTGAAGACTCCAAGGAGGCTGGCAGTTTTATCAAGTGATTGACTTGTCATGAGTTACACACTGGCCCTCTCATTTAGCTAAATGGAGTAAGCCAACCTATATTAGAAACACCTCTCAGTAAGAGCTGTCTCGACACCACTCAGACAGCAACCACATTTACAAATCGCATTTAGACCAAACCAATCCCAAAACCAATATTTGATTAATTAATCTTATGAATCATGCAATCGGTAGTAGCCTCAGCACTTTCCAACTTCTATGGAACTGTAGTGGATGGCCTATAACTACAGTTTTGGGTTTCATGGAAGCCATGTTTCCAAGAAGAGGTTTGGCTTGCGACAGTGCAGTGTGGATTAGGTAAACCAGAATCAGGCCCATGGGGTGTGTAGCAGTATAGCTGTGTCGGATAGGGAATTAGGCACTTCATTCATTAAAAAAAAAAAAAAAAAAACAGAATCATTGCACGTAACCAGTCAAAAGCAGATTTGTAAAAAATCAAGATCAAGCCAAAAAATCTTTGTGTTGTAATTGTAAAAGAAACAAAGAAACAAACAAACAAAAAAAACCAACACGTTTGAAAAGAAAGATTTTCACGTGTTCTATTGGCCTGTTCGGAAAGGTAAATTACCGGTACATTATAGTATTATTGCGTCAACAGCATCGTGCTGTAAATAACATGATAGTATTATTGCGTCAACAGCATTGTGCTAATTTGAGTTTTGAAATACAGTAATTGCCAATTTACCTTTCTAAAAAAGAAACAGAGCATGACAGTTATAAACAGACGCATGAGCAATTCTCTGTTAGATAAAACATGCCATTGGACGTATTATAGCACAAAATGTATGCATGCATGCATTTACCGTAAATTTGCAATATTCTTCTAAAATAATACATAGCTCTAGAAACTTTGTTTTCAAATACTTGGTTGAAGTCAGCCAACTGAAGGAAAAAAAAAAACCAAACCTCACAGTCACAGCAGTCTTTCTTTGTTGTTCAGAAGCTTGATGTAAGCTACTAAAGGCCTCAGACACCCACACAAAACGCAATTCAATCATCACTTCACAAATAACCAACCAGCAAGATTCACCTCAAACGGAGTAGAACAAAAGTAGTGTTTTCACTTTTGATCAGGATCTAATAATTCTGAGACGACCTTTTTTATAGAGTGGGTAAAAGTGGACCATTGTTAGTAAATGCCCCCTATGCTTTTGAACAACATCATAACAAGAGCAATGGCGGATCTTCGTTTTATAAATATAAATATTTACTCACTTACTAATACTTTTATACATATATAAAGTCGACACACCCCTGTTTGTGACATCTAAAATGATAACCGCAAGAAATCCATCCAAAACCTTTTCCTTCTTTATTGTTGACCTATAACCTGTACAACGTCAGCGGAAGAATAAGTAAAATCCTTTAGAGGGCGGATTTAAAAATAACCACCTGAGAAAATGTGACTGCATAAATGTGCACACCCTCTTAAATAGGGATGGGGCTGTTTTCATAATTAATCACATACAAACCCATGTTAAATGGGAGTCGGCACACACTTGCCACCATTTAAAGTACCTCTTATTAATCCCATATGAAGTTTAGATGTTGTTTACTGACATTGCGAGAAAATAGGCGAACAAACGTGACAGTACGAAGAACCGGATATCCCTCCAAAGTTGATGAAAGACGAGAAGAAAATTGGTGTGGGTGGCTGCCAAAAGGCTGACACTAACGTCAGAGCTTCAGAAATTTCCGGCAAGTTCTTGCAGTTTCATCTTCAGTTGAAACTGAGGCCTTCGTCAACGTGAAGGGAATATAAACAGTGCCAAATTTTAACCACAAAATTTCAGGTTTTCTTTGAGAAGTCGAAAAAAATGTTAATGAAAGCCTACTCTTTTTTTTTTTTTTTTTTTTTTTTTTGTTAATCATCCTCACCTTAAAAGCTGACGGTGTGTGCTGACTCCCATTTAACATCGGTTTGAATGCGTTTAGTTAATTTTTAATGCATATCCCCATTTCTAAGAGGCTGTGCACACTTGTGGAACCACATCATCTCAGTTGAATATTTTTACTTCCCCTGTGGAAAATATTTCATTTTCAGATCCACTTTATAAGATATACAACTCTATATGCTGTATTTATCCCTGGAACCACCCAACCAGTTGGCAGCCATGGACAACCACTGGGCAGCAGTGTCTTTTGCTCCACCCTTCACAAACGGATCACAACTTACCACTTCATCTGGAGCCCCAACAAACAGATATTGACTCAAACTGAACTATTTGGGGGAAACTGGGCTTAAGATACACTAAGGCTGCGTACACACGTAAAGATAGTCAGGCTGCGTTTGTCACGATTTTGCCTCTTCTTGACTAAGGACGGTATAAGATTGTCTTTTAAAAAGCAAGTCAACCCCAACATTTTCTTTACAATAATAAGTTCCATGCAGTCCAACTAGTCTAAAAACGGCACTCCGATTAATATTGTGTTTGTGGAATACGAGTTGTCCAGTAAAATCCACCCGCTTTTGTCCATCTCAGGGGGCGACATTTTGCCACTTGCGCTCGGCTAAAAATGACATCACAGTTGCCCAGGGCTCAGGTAACAACCAATCATGGCTCAGCTTCTGAAAACAGGTGAGCCACGATTGGTCATGTTGATTTTCAGTCAACAGCACGTGGCAAAATGACAGCCCCTTGAGATGGATAAAAGCAGCTGGATTTCTGCTCAATTCATATGCCACAAACGTGACATTTATCAGTGTTTAGACTAGTGGAGGCGAATTG